AGTCATGGAACCACTAAAAAATAGCTAATTATCATGCAAATTAGGTAATTAATATGCACGGATTTTTACCAAAAATTAATCAAATCTGCGCATATGTTCAGAGCATCTATGTACCAAGTTTCATCTAAATCCAATGATTGGTTCTTTAGATATCAGTGGAACAGTCATAGAACAGCTAAAAATTAGCTAATTATCATGCAAATTAGGTAATTAACGAGCATGGATTTTTACCAAAACCTAATCAAATCTGCGCATTGGCCCAGAGCATCTATGTACCAAGTTTCATCAAAAACCGATGTATGGTTCTTGAGATAGCAGTGGAACAGTCGGACACACAAACACACACACATACACATACACATACACACATACAGACACACTAACTGCAAAGACTCCCATTTTGTGCTTCGCACATGGGAGTCAAAAATATGAATATAATCATAGGCAACCTACTATTATATAATGAATAAACTGATCGACACAAGGACATTCTTTCCCCCCAGAGTTGTGGATATTTGGAAATCGCAACACAAGCAAAAACCGGATAACGATTTACTTGAAAACTATGTCCCCAAGAATTAATCGTTCGTGTACAATAATTTGACAGGGTATACAATTTACGAACTAGTTTCGTAGATTGGAGACAATTGTTTGCTTTTTTGGCTTTTCACAAGTGGCCTTCCTGATCCGCACTATCCGCCTTAACAAAAGTATGGGTACGCGTAGCCCCAATTGGGGTATCGATTCACACAACGGAAGGCATTGGACGTGACCGCTCCGAAACCAGAACCTGGAAACTTGAACCAAGCTGTTTGTCCTTTTCTCTCGAAGGGTACCAATCACCCTCCTCTATCGCCCTCTGAGCCCCCTCCATAGCTTGGGTCACACGAGCCGCCCAGTGGAGTTGGCAAGCACGCTTAGTCTCCACACTGGCAGTGGGAGAGGGGAGCACCGAGTCTCTAGGCCGTCACTGCCCCGTACACAAGCTGCGACCTTAACTGCATATTAGTAAGAGACAGCCGGACTCCGGTTGGTTGGGTATCCTGTGACTGCCCCGACAAAGTGGGGACGAGAAATGAAGCACTGGCCCCCCATCCCTCCTGTTGGGAAAGTGGTAGCTGCACCCAGTAAGAGGGTTGCATACCACCCTGTACAGGGGTACCAACACTGTCATCTCCCCTCGCAGATTCATAAGTGGGGGCACTCTGCCTGGTCAGACATCACCTCATCCAACCGGTGACATCACCTCATTCAATTTGTGACAGTTATTACTTATTTTTACCAACATATTTATCCAGGAAAATGTCAAAACTTATTTGCCTGAGCAATTGTAATACTATGTTTGATATGATATGATATGCCCATGCCAACTGTGAAGTAACTTACGTATCACAGCAATGGTATTATCACTCTTCAAGGTACCAGTATAAACCAAGTATAAATACGAAGCTTCCTGCAATTGAATAGAAAATATGTAAATATTAAAAGCTGTCACATTTTGTTGTAGAAGCAACGCTAATCACAATACATTGAAGAGCTTTCTTTTCTTTCAAAATTAGTAAGTATATTAGGCTAATATGTTTTTTGAAACATAATATATATATACCAGATTCTGCCGTAAATTCGCCCATCAGAAAAATCGCCCTGGGCGATTTCACGGCTGGTGGGCGCTTATTTGGGGTTCAAAATTTCAAAAAATAATTTCGATTTCTTATTAAAAAATCCACCCAAGACGACTTTCAACGCCAGCAGTTGGACCACCCAAGACAAAAGAAATTATTGCAGAATTAAAAATAACTAATAATTATTGCCGAGTTAAAAAGTAGACCGCCTGAAATTTCATTACAATGTCACCCAGTGTAATTTTTCAAAAACAGTGTACATTTGTTTTTATTTTATTGGTAACGAAAGTATATTATAAATTAAGTTTCAAATAAAAACGAACACAACTGCATCGCGTAGTACTAGCAAACGATCACAGATGCTCAGTCCGGACATGCTGCGTTTCACAATTGTTGATTATTACTCAGTAGTGATTATAATAATGCACAAAAAATAAATTCATTAATTGTTATGAAATGCAAATAAATTCAACTTAGTTTCATCGTAAGCAAATGACTCTGGTCGCATATAAACGCTTGATGCTGTAGGGTATCCAGCATGTCCTTTCTTGCATGAGTTAACCTAATAGGTCAAATCGCAAATTAACCAATCAAAATACTGGATGATGTGTTCAAATTACCTTAGCTCATTTAAATATGTTAATGTTATTGAACGCAACACGGAAGAGATTTGCCAATGTTGTAGTACAAACTTTTGGCTTTGATTTTGATGGGAAAATGGCATGATTTTTTTTTTCAAATCCAAAAATAGTTGTTTTCAAAAGATAAACTGAGCATTAGAAGAATAATATAACATTGTTTACATTGTCGAAACTAAGCTTACCCATTCACGCTAGTCACAATAAACATACTGAAGAAACATTTAATTTCGAGTGTGTTTAATTTCGCAGTTTTGAGCTGTCCAAGGATTTCACAGTGTTTAAATTTTGAAAAATACAAGACATGAAATGTCACAGCCCTCGTTAATTGATTATAAAATACAGGTAGTACAAGAAACATCTGCAAACAGGTAAATAAATATGTACTCTTTGTGGGTACAACTCATCATCAAGCGATTTCCCATAATCTAGTTTTGTACTGACAACTAAAAACTTCCACTGACCCATGTTCAGAATCTCAGAGTACACAAGTGCAACAAAACTATTTGTCATACATGTATACATGCTCAAGAAACTGCATTCATAAATCTGAGTGAACCTTGATGTACATGACTTCCTTGTTAATCAGGTCTTAGTATATTACCAGGACCTGGGTTTGTTTCAACATCACCACTGGGCATCAGAATCATTCTCATGTTGTCAAATACAATTTGTTATTAATACAGTAAGGTTTATTATATAAAATGTATTCATTGTACATAGAACAACATCTGTTAATTTAAACAATTGTAAAAGCTATGTTTTCAGAGCAAGTACATGTAATAATTAAGAAAGCCAGTAGTGATAAAGGTTGGTCTGCTCATAACCTTCAATGGAGAAGTAACAATAATTGTTCGAAGTCTTTTTAGTGCAGTGATATTATTGCATTTCAATCATTATTAATGGGTATAAAATACTGTAAACCATTTAATTTTCACTTCTAGATATATTCAGGATTTTATGAAATTTGTGTACAACATTTCAATAAAGTCCCTGACACTCCATGTTGTAGAAACCCAGAAAAAA